GGGAAAGGGTTACATAAGCTGAAAAAAAACAAAAAACAAAGACACTTCCTGGTTTGCCCCTGTGCAACGCTACCTATTATCAGCAATAATAACGTACCTTTAAACCTACTAGGAGGTAGGTGGGACAGTCTCACCGCTACATATGGGGATGATAACAACTAATAACAGCCATTTAATGGGCTGATAACATCCGAAGCCGCTCGCACTTTTTAATGCTTTTTTGTTGGAATTGAAATGTCGCTTTCCTGTAATGCGGGATATGATTAAATCACAAAAAGCAGGCCTCATTTTCATTGTTGTTGGTCAAATATAGATATTAAATCATTCAAAAATGATTTGTCTGATTGCAACAACTCTAAACCACACTGGGTTTTTAAAAACTTAGTTCTCAATTGTTGTAAAGTTGCATCAATAAAGTTAATTAGGTTATAGGGTAAAATGCTTAAATCCCTGTATTCTCAAATTAAAAACATGAAATATTTTCCTTTTCGCCTACAGACTTTTCTTCCCGCTCTATTTGTTGTCATACAGTGTGAAACAGAACCCTGGTATAACATCAAACTGGGCTCTAGTACAGTGTGTATCTGTTCTGCACCACAGGGAAGAGAGTCCTGTGCATTAGCTTTTAACTTTATGACTACAGCTTTTAATCTCCCATCACTAAGCAAGCTGAGTTCGTTGTTAACTTTTGCTCACTGAGTTACAGCGAGGAGATGGAGTGAGCAAAAATGCTCAACAAGCCAGAGTGTGATAAGCTGCCTGAAAAAGCCGAAAGGGGAAAAAAAAAAAAATTGCTTGAAAATGGAAAGTAAAGACTGAGCCCAAACGATGGATAGAGGTGCTAAAGAACAAAAGATATCTGAAAGCTTTCAATCTTGCATTAAGTGCCAGAAGGTTTTTAGAATGTTGAACTTTTAATGAGGTGTTTACAGAGTCAAACATCTTGCCAAAAGGTATTGATTTTCACCCAGTCCCATAACGCCGCTTAAAATGAAGAAAACTATCTGCTGTGACGAAGTATAGCAGAATAGAAGGATCTCAGTTGAGTTTGTAATTGTTTTATGCTACAAACCTAAATGATTGTACACCTCTTTTTAAACCTGCATTAACTGCCTGTTTTTAAACTGAAATAATGCTGTGGCAGAATAGCAGTGATAAAGGTCAGGCTATGAGACAAGTGGGTAAATCTAATGCACAGGCTTTTAGAAAACAGGAGTATTTGCATCATTAAAGTGATTTAGTTATTGAATAAACTGTTATCATTGTATACTACCATTTAGGAAAAGAACAAAGAAAAGCAGAAAGGGGAAGGGAAAGCAGTGCTGTACACTTCCTTCGCATTGCCCTTTCTACTCATCCATTCTCTGTGACACCTTGGTAATAAATCAAAGCTGAATAGGCGGGCAGGAGAGGGAAGGAGACTCGTGGTCCTTTTCCCCTTTTCCAATAACCTCTGACGCTAGTTTGACAAAACAATTGGAGATCTAACAGTATATTGGAAACAAGACAAGACTATGATCATTAAGGTTTATTTGCATCTGGCAATAAATGAGCAAGTAAGCATTTCCTTGCATAAAAGATAGCATGAAGATATTTAGTCTGTTCAGACATGGACACCATATGAAAACAAAAAGTTCAATTGATAGCAAATTGGCTTAAGATATGTACATCATTTGTTGTCACATGGTACATATAAGCAGCTTAGCATTGCCATTAAAAGAGTCCAAAACATAACCGGAGTTGATTTGAATATGAAAAAGCAAAGTGGCCTTTTGGGATAAATTCAATGTTGTGTCATCAAATGTATTAAAGGACTCTGTCACACGTAAGATGCAATCATAACGATGGACGCTGTCATCCGATGTCTAAAGTGAAGCCACCTAAAAAGGTGCAACGCTAATGGCTACAGATCTTCGAACACAACACTGTGTGCAATATCACTTGCTCAAATAGGCATCTAGTAAAAAAAACAAAAAAACAACAACTTTTCATGAAATGCAATATTGCTTTAATCAAATATTTAAGGTGTCATCAGCCAGTTTCATTTTTGAGGGGTGTCCACCATAATAATTCCACAGTTTTGTAGATAATAACTCTAAACAGTTGGTGTTTACAAGCCAAGGTGATTTATTTTGACATAATTGGAGTTTAAGTGGGTAATTAAGAAGCATGGTACATGGGCACCAGTGACCCCAGCGACCCGAAAAAGGAAGAAGCGGGTAAAGATGATGGATGGATGGATGGATGGATGGTCAAGATTAGTCATGAGGTTAGGTAATATAATAAGTTGTCAAGTATTCTGACTCATGGTTATTAGTCTTAATGTATTGTGCAGTAGGTGATCAACTTACATAGAGAGCTTTGCTGTGTTTGATCATACTAATCAGTTTTAGGTTCACTTCAGTCATAACTTGTTTTTCATTGATTGCACATTCTCAAAGGATTGGGATATCTTTGATTTGCCCACTTCTGGTTTCAAATGATTCAAGGACAATTTGGTAAGCTTTCCCTTTGACAATAAATAAATAAATAATATGATAATGGTAATCCGGGACAGTGGTAACAAAATGCAAACGTTGCATTTCCTAACATCAAAATTGTTGTCCACAAGTCAAACAATGATGCCAGCAATCGTGCCTGTTTTTAGCCATTTTAGTCAAACATTAAAAGAAAAATACATTAAGTGTATTATTAAATACTATTGCCACATCTTGCATAATCTGTTAATGCTCCAAGTGGGTTGTGAATGAATCTTATCTACTAAAAAACAACTTTTATCTCAATACATCTAAAACTGGCTGATGTATAGCTGTGTATGCTAAAGCTGCTTAGCTGTGGGAACCAACCTAAATCGGACTGACTTCAAAAATTTGTCCTGTAATTACTTTCTGGGAGTTAAAAATAAATTAGCCGTTGACAAAATATATTTTGCTGACAGACAAACAAATGCAAACAGACAGGTAAATCATTATTGCCACTTTGCCTTCAGCAGCAGACAATATTCAAAATAGTCATGCCTTCCCATTCAGGTAAGAAGAAATTGTACTAGAAATACATATTTTTAAATAATCCCCGAATATTTAATTAAACTTTAATTAATAAAATAAATTAAAGAACAAAACTGATGCAACAAAACGGACTGTGACTGAAATACTCATTGAGCTTGACTGTTTTTTCTTCAAATCAGCAACATAGTGTGTTTTTTTTCTAGGTTGTCAATTTCAATAACTTTAATTCAGAGACGAGAACAAACCCACTAATACATCCATCAGAAAAAGCTGTTAAGACGACAGGCATGCATTACTGTCCGAAGAAAATGGAAAGCACAGGGGAGCACAAATTGATGGTTTGGGACACCAGCATTAGCAGACAGGAGAGAATAACCAAAATAAATAAATCACGTATGAGATATGTGATTGAAGTGAAGTGAAAGCTGTGTATGGTGAAGTTAAAAGCTTAGACGATACACTAAACAACAAGAATATTATTTAAATTAGGTTTTGCATTTACAAAGCAGGTGACGTACTGCATGCATTTCCACAATTAAAGCTCGGACTGCGATAAAATGATTTCAAACAGCTTTTCCACAAAGATCGCACATGGCACACACTGTGCCTTCAATATGTATTACTCACAAGGAACTATTAAAGCCTATTACAGCTCCTTCTCTTCTTCCACAGCAGGCAATCATCCACCGAAAGGGTGAAGCAGCAAATTTGCTAGCTGGCTGACTGGGTGGACAGGGAGGCCTTTCTCAACAGTCAACGGCTGTCCTTAATGAGAATAGAAAGTGATTTACTAGCTTAATGCTCCAGCCTTCAGCATGCCTGCCAGCCTTTGCCTCGTGCAGCCAGTTCAGTTGTCTTCCTACAAGGAATGGAACTGGGAGCACTGAGCTATGGAAGAAGAAAAAAAAAAAGGATGATGTCTGGAAACGGCAGTAATGAGACGTTCTCATGACTTCTCAGTACTAGTATCAATGACCTCCGCTGAGCGCTGTGTGTTTGAATTTGTCTTTGTTTTCACCAGGTTTCCATGAGACTGTGCCAAGTGTGTGTGTGTGTGTGGGGGGGGGGGGGTCTGCTCTAAAATGAATGTTAATTGTGTAACACAGAGCATTTTGCATCTGTTGTGTTTCACTTCATCTCGAGTGGCTAAAAGCGTTTAACGGCTTCTGCACTCTGTAAATGCACCAGTCATAAAACCCAACTGTGTGGCTCACAACGTGAAGGGAAACACACGAGGATACAAGCAATGCCTTTTTAGTTTTGTTGTTTGCATCAACGTAAAATACGACAAAGGCAAAGTAAGCAAGCGAGTTCCTCTTTTTTTTTATGTGAAAGTCTACTTCTCTTTCAAAGCAAACATGTCTTTTTTTTTTTTAAAGGAAAAGGCACTTTTCTACTATTATGTCCTCTGTGATTATCCAATCAGCGATGCTACTCTCCAGACCATTTCAGAGCCACTGGCTTTCACGGAGAACTTCGGATGACCTGTCAAAGACCGGCGTTGCACTGCTCTGATTCACAGTTATTATATGGGGAAGAAAGAAGGCACTCTCTCACATGCACACGGATGTGTGGGGGTTCCCCTTTATTTGAGTTTAACCAAAACCACCAAGGATGTCTGCAAAGTGAGAATAAATCGCTCATTTTGTGCATATTCGTGGGGATAAATTGCACTGCTCGATTGGGGCACTGCGCTAAGGGGTATGCATGCATTTTAAACTCATAATCGTGTTGAACCACAAATATGAAAGTCATGAGGGATAGAGGGTGTCACTTCACCATAAGTGAGACAATTTGTTGTACTTCCAGCCGCATCCATCCAGGTGTTAGGTGAGGAAAACTGGTAGAATGCATTTATACACAGGCTTTAAAAAAAGGGGAAATGATTTAACAGCTGATTTTGGAAGCTGTGCACAAAGTGCGCAGCAGCACATGTGCAGCTAGGCTCACACCATCATGGTGATGATGATGGAGGGCAACCATGGTTCTTACCGAGTGTGAAGTAGGGGAGAGCTGTGTTGTCAAGATCATCCATTACAGAAATTCGCCCAGGTAGGTCTGTCCTAACAAACAGCAGGAGTCGGGATTCGCCCCCTCCTCCGGCTCCCGCTCCTCCTCCTCCACCAGGTCCTCCTCCGGTTCCTCCTCCACCAGCAGCCGCACCTGCTCCGGCAGCGCTCCCTCCTCCCGCCGCGCTCGCAGCAGCTCCGCCGGTGAAGCTGAACTCGTTCTCCCGGAGCACGGGCAGGGTAGACACGGTGACGCTCTTCACCTCGCACGGGGTCTCCGCGTCGCCCTCCTTGTCCCTGTCCTCCGCAGGAGACGTGGCCCCCCTGCTCGCACGGAGCGTCGCGGAGCCGGTCAGGAAGAGACCCGCGAGAAGGACGCGGATGTGCGGCGCTGAAAGACTCGCCATCCCGCTCCGCGCGCGTGCTTCTCTCGCTTTGAGTGCGGCTCATAAGCTGTCCGTTCACTTATAGTACAGTCGCTGCAAAGGAGCTCGCGTCCGTCCAGGAGGCGGCAGCACAGGTGGAGCGTCCTCGTTCATCGTCTGTGCGCGCGCTGTGGAAATGGAACGCTTAACTCACAGAAGCACGTGTCATATATATATATATATATATATATATATTTTTTTAAGGGAGTTATCACATGGAGTTGGCACTTTTTAAATAAAGAACATGATTTTAGTTTGTTTTATCAAATGTGTCAGACCAGACTCAAAGAGTAAAATTGAGTTTGTTACATGGCTCTCTGTAAATAATATATCCTCTGTTTAAAAGTTTATACAATTATGCAAACAACAACACAAAAGTAAATAATCCTGACCCATTCATTTACATAATGTCAATGTGTTTCCTGTTAAAATAGCCCCCCCCCCCAGTTTATGCACATATTTCAATTAAGAATTAGGTTTCAATTGCAGTGTTCGCTCAAACTAAAGAAGGCTATATTAATGCCACAGTGAAATAAAAACCCTCGCCTGAAATACGTTTAAATAACGGTGGCGCAACTGGTAGAGCTGCCGCCTCTCAGCGAGCAGGTCCCTGGTTCAAATCCTGGTCCGGGGGCCCTTCTGGGTGGAGTTTGCATGTTCTCTCTGTGCATGCATGGGTTTTCTCCAGTTTCCTCCCACAAACCAAAAACATGCATGTTAGACTGATTGGTAACTCTAAATTGCACCTGGGTGTGAGTGAGAGAGTGAATGTTTGTTTGTCTGTATGTGGCCCTGTGATGGACTTGCAACCTGTCCAGGGTGTACCCCGCCCCTCACACAGTGATTGCTGGAAATGGGCACCGGCGACCCCCGTGACCCAAACTGGAAGAAGCGGGTAAAGATAATGGATGGATGGATGGATGATAGAGATATAGTTGTTTTGGTCAAACCTTGAAACTAACACTGTGCACAATCACATAATATTTTGAGATATCATGCTCAGAGTAAGCTAAATGTTTTGAGAGAGTCTCTTCAAACCACATCATATTTTAGCTCTAAAGCTGTAAAATTGACCGATATAGCCATTGTTGTGTTGGCTAATGTTAGTTACATCAGGTGTGGTGGCCATCTTGAAATGGGGTGACTCCAACAGGTAATCAGTTGAAAATGTACAACCTCTAATTAATTTCTGGATGTTTAATAACACCTGCAATAGATCAGATATATTTTTCTAATAGTCAAAGTTAAGGCCACAGTTTTAAGCAAACATAATGCAATGTTCTGTGCTTGAAGCATGCATTAGGGATAATGCTCAGCCACTACCACGCCAAATTCAAGTTCAATATGTCAGAGTCAGAGTCAGAGTTTCTTTATTGTCATTCGCACCTCATGTGGTACATGTGGTGGAGCGAAATTATGTACACAGGGTCCCAGTTACATCCAACAATAAAATGTATAAGAAAAACAGTAATAACATCTAAGATATGAACTAAGAAAAACATCAACTAAATATACACTAAGCACTCATAACATAAAACATTGAACATCACCACAAACATGAACATGAGTCTGTGAGCAGATGTGCACGCATGAACAC